TATGTATATATAAATATGCCCTCCCTCCCTTCTAGCTTTCTTGACTTATTGCGGTCCAGATGTTATATCCGCATTCGTCTATAAAGATGCTATTGTTAAGCACAGCATGGCTTATAAACAAGCCGAGTTAGCTTAGTCCAATCTTTTTTGTAAGATATCCGGCAGGACGGTTTCTCTTACCGTACGTGATTCTGTCGATTCCTATTGTATCTTAAACCATCAAATAGTCTTCATTCACATCTTCGTAGTCCCTGATTCATGAGTTGGACGCTGTTCCAGCAGGATTCTATTTCTTTTTGGCATTTCGGACAAACTTTCGATTTTGTTGCTACTTGCACAATGAAAATTCTGTACGAAGCTTGCAATCGGCTGCCTTTATATCTTGTTGGAAGGATTGTTTGGAATTCAAGCTTTTATATCTTTACAAATTAAGAATAACGCTAATGAATCCCCGCCCCCTCACCCTTATAGTGTATTTAGAGGCACTGTAAAGTTAGGCCCTGGCTAAACGAGGAAACATGTTTCCCGCGCGCATGTTCCCCGATGTTTCCAAGTTTAGCCACATGCGAAACATTGCTACGCGCAACAAATTTTGCTTCCAAGAAGCAAAAAAATGTTTTTGCTGTGCGGCAGAAACATTTCATGCTTCCAAGACGCATGGAAACAATGTTTCCTCGTTTAGCCACGAAAGTCAACATTCTACAAGTTCGTTACTTAGCAACGCTAGCTCTATCTTGAAAGTGCGCATACGCTAACCGATATCGATTAAACATCCCGATGTTCCCTGACAGCTTTGCCACCTTTGGAAACATTTAGGAAAATATGTTTCCTCGTTTAGCCAGGGCCTTAATGAATTTAACTCCAGCCAAAGTGAAAATACATTTTTTACCATTGAATGTCAAAAGGCACTATTGTTTGTCTGTTGATGCAATTGAATGTTAATACATATGCAAATGTCGTTCTTGAAGGTTTCTTTCGTGCAAATGAACGAAAGTATATTCACCTTAATAAAACAACTATTGACACAAATGAATGAATATTTTCTGTAAATGAACAGACCCCACAAGCTTTTAGCTTTAAATATTATCATGTCTAAATAAAGGTATTCTATCTGTTTCCATTCTGTTAGCCCCGAATGCATTTGCCCTGAATGATTATTTTACGTCAGTGTGGAATGCTTTGTAATTTTTGGCATTTCAATTTACGAAAGAGAAATTTAAAATAATATTGGTCAATAAGTGGAAGGGAGCTATAGCCCCCACCCCCTCCCCCACCTCCCCGTTGCTACATCCATGCCCACACCCAGAAACACACAAAGCCTCTTTGAAATAAACTTTTCTTGAAGCATTTTAATAGAGGACAATCCATATTGCAATCCATGGTAATGTTCTGTTGTCCAGTCACTTCTCTTCTATACTTTATAAATACCAAGAGCATCCTGGGTAACCCAGGGGTAAAATTTACTTGTTCTCGCTACTCTCTGGTAGCAAGAAACGAGCAACAGGATCTTATCTCTGGGTTACTGAGGATGTCCAAGAAGGTGCATTTTGCATAACTGAAATTTGAATTCTTTAGAAATGTAAATGTACATGTCAAGAGATAAGTTGATGTTTAAAAAATAAGCATACCAAAGGCCAACAAAAAATTACTTATTAACAATGTCTGTACTGTACGTATATCACCTGATTCCCTCCTTTATTTAAGTTATCAAGTTCTTAGTCTATATAATTCATTCATATCAAAAGCAACTTCAGAGAAAGCATTCTCAGGTATCAGGTAGTATTCAATAGGCAAAACTAAGTAAAGATCAAGGTATACTTATTACTTGTAAACATGTTCATATCATGGAATAACAGACAAAAACAGAGTCTTAGCTGCCCCTTTCCCTCCCCTCCCCCCATTTGCATCCTGTTCACTGGTAATGTTTTCACTGTAGCAAGATGTAGGGATTTGCTATATGGTTCAGGAGTCAACAAATATGTTTTTAACCAGTCTTTGGTAATACTGTAACTCTTTGTCTTGCATCTACAAAAAGGCGGACACAATTGGGTTCTTGGATTTTGCTTATGAAGCTCTTGTCTGGAATGATTTGAATCTAAAACAATAAATTCAACATTAGTAATAATTTTGTCTGGAGCTATATCTATTTCTTGTACCATTTTTTCAATGCTTTTAAGTTTTGTGTAATAGATGGCTTATCTATTTGGAGTCTTTAATTTAGAAATTAAATGTTATTTTTGTTTTTATAAGAGTACATGCAGTAAAACCATTAAAAAAATCAAAATTGATACTGACAAACAGTATACACTCAACCAGTCAACCAGAACATTTCATAATGTTAAAACACATACACAAGGGACAATTTGTGATTATCAATGGTTTTACTGCATATGCTCTTATCACTTCTTTGTGGTTATGATTAACATTTTAAATGATGATTTTAAAAAATTTATTCCTAAAATCATTTTTAATATTGTTATCTTATTTATCAATTCATTTAATTAGTGTATAAATTTTAAAATATTTTGTTTTGTTTAATTACTTTAAGCCCAGGATGTTCTCTGTCAATAACTGTGACAGCTTCTTCGGCATCCTATGAATAAACAATTTATTTGAGTAATTTTATCATAACGTAAGACTTGCGTAATTAAAGCTCAAACACTTGTGATTGTGTGGTTTCTTTTTGATCACTCTTCTTTGTCTAAGTGTATATCAAGGAAAAAAATTTTTTTTCGAAATCATTTATATGTGAACAGTGAAGAAGCATGATTTTTGTATGTGGTCTTCTCCTTTCAGAGATATAAACATTTGAAATATCAATATGCAATTGAGATGACATCAGTTCAAGATTGTGTTGCAGTGAAATAACCTAAAAGTGTATGAAACTATATAATTCAGTCATAAGGATGATTTGCAAATGAAAAAAAGTACTTTCCACAAAAGCATTTTTGTATAATAAATTAGTCTTGAAGTTACGTCATTTTATTGCATTTTGATATTTCAAATGTTTATATCTTTGAAAAGAAAATTCCACATAAAAAAAAATCCTGCAACCATACTACTACTACAACGCTGTTCACATACAGTCAATTCAAAAAACGTTGTCGTCGACCGGCTCAAGCCTACGCGACTGGACCGAAAGGAATATGGGTAAAAATCACTGAAGCGGTTAAATATTCATTCTGAATTAATTGTTCCCGCTAGGAATAAAGATAATAATAGCGAGAAACAATCCATCAAATGCATGTCTTTGGGTTTAGGGAAAGTAAAACAAAGTAGTTATGATTCAGTTCACAATTTCGAAAATATGAAGGCATTAAAAAAACGTCTCCTTCGACACTTCCCGCTCGCCTATGAAGGTTCGTGCTGTAAACCAGGCATAACTAGTCAGATAAAATTATGCAGTCAACTCGGCTTCAATGATTGCTACCCAGAGTTCCTTTCGGTCCAGTCGCGTAGGCTTGAGCCGGTCGACGACAACGTTTTTTGAATTGACTGTATAAGTGATTACTAACTGTTCACGTATAAGTGATTTTGAAAATAATTTTTTTCCTGTGATATACACTTTAAGCTGCCTGTACTTGTCATGTAAAAAGCAAAGCAGTCAAATTCATAAGGAGTAAGTGTCTTGTCTATCTATTTCCCCCTCCCCTCAGGGGCGGCGGAACCAGGGGGCCGGGGGACGTATGCCCCCCCCCCACCAAATTTTTTTGGGGGGCCTGGCCCCCCAAAAAAATATTGGTTCTTAGTCATTGTTTTACGGTGCATGCGTCTGCAATCAAACAAAACATTGTCGTTATCACATAGCGTTAAATATAATCTTCAGTGTCCCCCCAAAGATTTTTGCAGTGCCCCCCCAAGGATTTTTAGCTTCCGCCGCCCCTGCTTTAGGAAAAGAATGATCAATATAACATCAGTCTTATGTCTAGTTTTTGTAGATTTATTCAGCATTGCATCTGACCTTCCACACCTTCTTGTTTAGTTAATTCATAGTTACATTGTTTTAATTTTAATGAGAAAGAAAATTTGTGAAGCATTTTAGTTCTGGAGGTAGTGTAAAAATAATGGTCATTACTTATTATCATTTTAAGTAAATTCATTCATTTATCAATGCTTGTGACTTAATCTTTGTTAAAAACATTTTTGATTCATCATAAACCTCTGAAAATGAGCGCCCCAAAATCGAAGCCCTCCCAAAACAGGACCCCAAAATTGTGAAAAGAAAAAACCCTTCCTATATTACCGGCATTTGCATTGCTACGCGGCCACCCCAGACAAAAATCGTGACGTGCACTTTGCAATAGACTACTGTCAATCAAACAAGTTGACGTCATTTATACACGTTTGGATTGGCCCGGATAGGCCCGGTGAGTGTGGCTCATAATACTTGTAAACAATCAACCGAAGTTTTAGTGCCTTTTGAATCACACAAGCATGTAAATGGTGTCAACATAATTGATTGACGGCAGTCTATTGCAAAGTGCATGTCGCGATTTTTGTCTAAGGTGGCCGTATAGCAATACAAACACCGGTAAGCTCTACGCTGCTCCCCCTTTCTTCTCTTTATTTGTTATTTAGGGACCGGTCATTATCCTAGATATTTAACTAATCATAAAACATTGGCTTATATACTCCAGATTATACTTTATCTATTACATAAACATCAGTGAGGATGTAACATTTCGGGCCAAACCTTGGGAGGGGGGGTCATATTTTTTTATGCATGCTAAAATGAGGTGGGCTAACTTGTAACTTGCAGGATTTAGGGAGTGGGCTATGGGTAATTTCTATACTATCCGGGAGAAATCCCCCACTTCATAAATAATGACCGGTCCCTTATTGTTGACTAACCCCTCCCCCGTAAATTTAGTGGCAGCTCTCCTTGTTTTACCAGCTTCCTTAGACATGAATAATCAATTGCTTACCAGAAACATAAATAAAACTTAGTAAACAGCTACAAAGATTTGTAAAAGAATTTGTATAGTATTTTAGAGTACATTTTGAGGGATCACTTCACGATATGATTGATCAAAACAAAGATGCAATCGCGACCAAACACCTTGTTCACTAGCTAACTATATCAAGTCCATTTCTACTAACTTGATGGGGGGGGGGGGGGGGGGTAAAGGTCAAGAGTTTCCCTGCCACAGGCTACCACAGGGATCCGAAGTGATAAAAAATGGTGAATTGGGGGATGGCGTCCAATCCTGGACTGACTTTTTGCGAAAATGTCTTATTTTAACACAATTTGATCATTTTGGTTTTCTATTCAAACACATATGTACTTTGATATACAGAAAACTTCACAATAAAAAATTCTTCAGTTTTGTTTTGCTTTTTTCTGCTGAAGGGGGGCTTTAGCCCCCCTTTGTCCCCCTCCCNCCCCCTCCCCCTGGATCAGCCCTTCCTTCTATATAGCCAAATCAGGTTAAAATGTTTGTTTGGAAGTTTGCCAAAGATCGAACTTGCCAAACATCGAACCAAAAATACCTTCACAAGAGCTGAAGAAATCCAAAAAAATCTGAAGAAGCAATGAGTAGTCTTCTTGGTATCATCTTCCTTATTACTAAGCTTAAGCTCATATGTTGAGAAAAGTAATGGAGTGTGCATGAAAATTGAAAACAGAAGTTAGGGTCGTTTATCAGAAAAAATCGAAATAACAGAGAAACTCAATGATTTAAAAAATCTAGTCTAATCAATCAAGTTCGAATCTTAAGCTCAATTTGCTTAGATTTTTTAAATTTATATAGGATAACGGTTTCCAATGAATTTCATCCTAAGGCAAGTAATCATAACATTTTACATTTTCGTGAAAAGAATGAAGCCGAGAACGTATTCTAAATGAAGAAATGGTGAGCAAACGGACTTGTTGATTTCACAAAAACATATTTCACAGGCATCCATTAAAAGCTGATTATCTTGAAAACAAGCTTGGAACACCCCATTTTTCTTTCCATTCTTGAAATCAGCAGTACATTTCACTTTAAAAAAAATTAGTTTTAAAGAAAGTTTGATTTTTTCCAAAAATAGCCAGTCACCTTAAATTGATGCTCATTAGGCCGTGGTGTATGCATAAAAATAGTTATAGCATAATATATGCAATCATAGGACACAACTACTACTAGGTGGATGGATTTGCATTTGGAAATTTGAATTTGAATAGGATTCTCCTGACAATATTCCTGTACACTGCGATATTAACCTTAGATGACATCCATGCATACTAACAGCACTTAACTTGCAATATGCAATGGTTAAGGTGTATGGGGGGGGGAATGAATTTTATTTTTGATGCCATTTCTTCAGTTGTGGTTTTCAATAAGCTGTAACTAGGCCTCTCTACCAATGTCGAGATACTCTTTTTATTTTTGAAGTTCAATTTCACACAACTGCTCATTTTAAGGAGGACAACGTCACGTGACCTGTTAGGGCAAATCGTCCATTTCAAAATATTTCATTCAACATAAGACAACTCGACTAGCGATTTTAAATTTCGACAGAAAAAGGCATAACATGAATTCTTTACAAGTAAGACAGTCAATAGGTAGTAAATATGAAAGAAAAAAGAAAATCATTGTTTTAGAGGCTCTGTGTTTCCAAGTCAACGACAAATTCAGCAGACAGAAAACCTACATATGATACAATAATTTAGGTTTTGGTCACAGAAATCGAAATAATACTGTATTACCTTTCCAATGAGCTCTGGCCATTTCGTTTTTGGTTCCTTTGGCACTTCTTTTCTTCGAAACTTGAAATTTAATTTCTCGGCCATATATGTTCGGTTTGTTTAGCCAACTGAAGACGAGCCTGCGATACGTCCAACAATGGTACAGCAGCATGAGCATGAGCGTGTAACGTACTGGAATTAACAAAAAATTCGCAATTTTCTTGATACCCTATTAAAATAATTTAGAATTATATCATATGCTAGTAAAAAAAAGTTCGCAAATTTATCAACTCTCATACTAGTAATTTGCGAATTCTGGTACCGTATCATATTTCAAGATATACTAGTAAAAAAAAGTGATGTAATACGATGGCATCAAAATTCGCAAATTATGAAAGTTGATAAATTTGCGAACTTTTTTTACTAGTAGATGATATAATACGGTACCAGAATTCGCAAATTATGAAAGTTGATAAACTTGCGAACTTTTCTTTACTAGTATTACTATATGATATAATTTCAAGTTATTTTAATACGGTATCAAGAAAATTGCGACTTTTTTTTTATTAGTACTGTTAAAGAAGATTGTAAATTGGTTTGGAAAAATCTTTTTTTGGAACAAATTGATTCGGACCCTTTTTTATTTTGATATAACTTTTTCTTCGGGTTACTTCATTTGGTGGTAACATGGATAACATTCAGTCTCGCCTAGAAACTCGTCCCCTCCCCACTTAGATTTTAAAGTAGCCTCGACAGGGTGTATTATTTTCCCGCGTTTGCAAGTACTGGAAGCGTTGGAAGCCCCGCACGACAAGAATACGACAAGAAGAAGTTTGTGGAAAGGTTCTGCTTGTTTTAGGCATCAGAATGGAAATGTTTGCTAAACTTTTTGGCAGTGACATAATGACCATCCATAATCCTGTGTATCCATTAAAGTTTGAACGTTTTGGTCTGGGAGATCCAAAGAAAGACCCCGAATTTTGCTCGCACGTGGAAAATCTTGTGTGTGCTGGTAATCCAGTGTCATCCGAAATGAGCGCCGCATCCAGCTCTTATTGCAGCAAAAGAATTTTTAAAGCAGAAGAAAAGGCAAGGATGGCGTATTCCAGCGAGGACCCTGTAAAAGTAGCGAAAGACGCCTTGTCTATTTCTCCTTATTGCCCCGAAGCTTACAACGTAATGGCTGCGTGTGGCTCGGACACCTATGAAGAAGCACTCGGTACGTATGCTGAAACCCTATTTTAAGGCCTGAGAAAATGGGTAGGAGGGTTACCCTTCAAGCGGGGTCAGTAGAAAGCTTCTGTTTTCAAGAAAAGCGATCTAGATAGGCCATTTAACTACCTTTATAGTGTCTAGTAAGGGTGAACGAGATCAACGTTTTATTTTGTTCCTTCTCAGACTATGTGTTTCATGTAGCTGGTCAATCACGTGATATTCGATGGCACCACAACATTCTCTTTGTATTTTTCGCGTGTCAACTTTATAGCGTTCTAGCTAGTTTTAGAAGTAGTTATTGCAATGCCGCCATATAACTCAAAAGTCATTTTTTAATCTGCCTATACACTCGATGTAGCATTTACTTTACATTTACATCTCCCTTACTTCTGTACCGAGTGACAAAACACATTTCATAAATAGTCGTTGCGGCAATTTTGATTTTGTTGTTACTGTTTCAGTAGGCAATCATTTACTTCTGCAATACCCTATTGTATCATATATATGGTATTGTAGAAGATCTTAAAACGTATATGGATATCTCTTGTAGTGGCAGATTAAGGGTTAGGTGCAGACCCCCTCTCATTTCATCCTTAAAAACTTGATTCTCTCAATACTAGTAAAAGATAAGAACTTTTACTAGTATTGAGAAAATCAAGGTTAAGAGGGATACCTCAATAATTTTCATCCTTTCAATATTTTCTGCAAGTACACCAAATTTGCTTTCATGCAAGGAATAACTATAGAATACCCCGCCAAAGCCTTCCCCAATCCTAACCTTAACCCTTACCCCAAGGTACTCGATTGTTTATAACTACAACGAATGCGTAGGCAGCCCACTATAATACTTTTCCTTGTGGGGTATTCTATAGTTGTACCTCATCCAATATAAAATTGATAGCTGAAAATACAACTTGCCTCAGTGCCGCCATTTTGTATATTAGCAGGAGATATATTTGGCATATTATTAGGGGATATAATTTAGAGAAATCTCAAGTTTGAAAGTACAGCGTTTTTGATCAGTTATCAACTAACTGTAAGCCTAAGCTATTCAAATACTTTCCTTTCTTTATCATCTGTAATGTCTTTATCCCTGTTTTCAATGTTGTTCTTATGGTGGTCCACCAACATGGTCCACAAAAGGTGGTTCTTAGACCGGGTCCACAATTAAAGGTGTCCATGTTTTGAACCCTCCCCTAAATTTTTGAGAGGGTACAAAAATATACTTATACTAAACCTAATTGTAGGATAAAACAATTAATGATTAATTAATTCACACACACAAACATCAATAATAATATTGTTGCCTGGAAGAAACAAACTGTTTTCATAGACCGTGACCTATGCAGTTTCTAATTTGCTTTCCTTGTATCTAAAGTCATTTATTACTATTTTTTAATATTTTTGGTGACACAAATCACTATATTTGCAAAGGAAATATATTAAAAGCTCTCATTTATCATTTAGTTTTGCCACGGAAGAATAGCTGAATTCAAAATTTGCTGCTAATTTTTTGTCTTAATACTCAAACACTATTGGATAATTTGTAGAAAATTCATTGAGGTGGGCTTGGTTTGCATAGTCACACCATAAGATATGTTCTTATGCTTAGATAACTCTAATAGCTTTATAGATAATCAAGGGGAAAAGAAAAATATTGACCCTAAATCCTTGCTTCTTTATCTTTTTTACTATTACTAGTAAGATTTGTATTACTTGATTACTAAGAAAATCAACATGATCTTTACTTTTGATTCGTCACCCAGATTATTACAACAAAGCAGTTGAAGTTGCTCCAAAAGTCAGCCCAGAATTTGATTCTGAGATTGGTGAAGGTAAATGCTGGAGTTACAACCACCTTCGAAGCTACTTTCGAGCTGTTCATGGTCAAGCTAACACGCTACGCAAGATGAACCGGAATAAGGAGGCTTTGGAAAAATATCTTCTTCTTGAAAAACTGGACAGTAACTTTTATAGGTAAAAATAATAATCTAGGATACCTTTAGATTTAGGCATTTACAATGAGACTGTTTCAGCAAATATTTTTTAAAGCTTGGCAAATAAAGTAAGTTTATGTGAGTGAAACATTCCCATAGTTAATGATAATACTCAGAGGAGGAGTGACTACTATCCCACAGTGCATTGCGAAAGCAAGTATATCATCGAATTTTTTGGCACGTGGATCATTGTGTTCAAGTCCGAAGCATTTAGACCAAGAGATTTCTGTCAAAATATTCTTCAGAATTGAAGACTGTTTCAAATTTCTGCTCCTTTGTGCTCAAAAAGAAGAGTTTTTAAAGCATATTTGCCTCTTATTGAGCATCAACTTTCTTCTGAAGGCTTTTTGCCTGGGCTATTGTTTTAGTCTAACTTGAACATGGCGCTGCACAAAGTGACACTATAATTATAGTCATGCTAAACAAAGATTTATTTCAAGAGAATTCTAGAACCAAGCATCACATAGAATTTAATAGAGAATTATGTCTTTTATTTAGCAAAATTATAGGCCATTCAAATAATAAACGTTCAGCTTTGCTGTGTTTCTAACAGCCTAACATTTTCTGATTGTAACTGGAATGTCCGCCACTAAAGGTCAAAGCCCGACTGAGGCGGTCAAAGAAATTTGATTGAAGTTGTGTTTGTTCGACTTGGGTTATTCTGAAAAACAAAATGAAAGTCTATGTTAGATACAGAGGCTTAAACAACCACATGACCAGTGATATTGATTCATTACTTGAAATTGGAATAGTTTCGATGGCGAGAGATCTGTGGTCATCAGCATGAAGCAAATACGCTTTGTGACAACTATCTTCAGTCTGTAAATGTGAAAAATAGTAAACATAATCCAACATTTCTTGTTAAAAACCTGGGTCAATCTGAGTCAAACTATGTTCACTTTAAAGCTACAATGACATACAAAGTAGGAAACACATAACATATGAGATTGACCCTCAAATTATTAAGTTATAGATAAAGAAACATACATCAAACTATCAAAAATAAAAATCTCCTGAATGACAATAACATTGAAGAAAATGTAAAATTATACACTCTAAACTCGTCTATTCAAGTCCAAAAATACACAAATGATAAATTATTATCTCTAGAACTTACCTAGTGCAGCAAAGTAGAAACATCCCTCATTACTAGAATAAAAGCTATTTTCAGTCAAGGCAGTAACTTGCCGCCATATTGAAAATATACAATCGCAAAGCACTATGGGATAGTAGTCACTCCTCCTCTGGATAATACTTATGTGATATTAAAATTAAGTTTTCACTGCTCTTTAGTATATAAAATAATGTCATAAAGAGAATGTCTCTGAGCATCATTCAACCTTTCACTGTGAAATGAAGGGAAGGAAACTTTGGGAATTTGAGGACTTTGGAAAAGCGATTTGCAAACATTTTGCTCCACTAGAGCTTGTAAGATATTCAAAATATAATTGAATTTGGCAGCAAAGCTCTGACATTTATATTTTTATCAATTACACTAACAGGTCAAGTTTTCTAGTCAATAGATAGTCAATGAGGCGCGTAGTGCCCAATAGACAATTTGACTTATAGAAAACGAGAATGAGTAGTCTGATTGTTTTATCAAAAACCTACTAGCAATCTACTAGCTAATGTTATAGTTTGAGGAAAAAAGAATTACACTGACAACTTAAATGAACAAAATTAAACAGCAATCAACCGGAGGCACTATTTTCATTCATCTTTGCAAATTCGACTTGAAGTCCTAACGTATAAGCTTAAACTTGCTCTATATGTGACCATGTAAACAACATGTGCAAGTTTCGTCTTTAAGGTACCACCATGGGACCTTCGCGACCGATGTTCACTAAAAATGCCATAGCGCACTAACTATTCAACTGATATTGCTACAAAAGTATATATATTCTTAATGCTGAATAAACACAGATTTCAACCATGAGAATTATTTTTGAACATTATCTTATCAGTTTTTCAAGAGTGCGAGTTTTATAATTTTCGACCGCTCTTTTTCAAAAAGTTTCAGGAATTTTTTTGACTAGGAAATAGTTGATGTCACCATAAAGAGCACAGTTTAATCTCCAAAACGGTGTCTCAGAATTTTTATATCTTGTCTTGTTTATGATTTATGCATAAAAGAGGTAAAAATCACGTCAATCAACTTTGAGAACAAATATTTCCGCAACAAATGTGTTTCTCAAAAATTTGTAACAACATTTTGGAGAATAAACTGTGCTCTTTACGGTGACGTCAACTATTTCCTAGTCAAAAAAATTCCCGTTAACTTAATTAACACAACTTTTTTTGACTCTCTTTGAATGAACTTAACATTGAACACAACTGAACTGATGAATGAAAAACTAACAACAAAAACTTCATCATACTTTTGTATTTTTCATGTGTGCTCTAAATTTCTAACGAGTGTGTGCACTGAAAACGTAATGAAAACAAACTGAAAATATCCACTTGCCACAATATTTATAGCTTTTTGTCTTTACTATTACGGTCAAAACTCTCTTTCCAATATTTTTCACCTTTTTATCTGTTTTTGGTATCAATTTTCTAATTGAATGAGTGATAAACTGAACAGATGGTACCGAACAGATTTATTCACAAATACTTTGTTGTCAGATCATTCAAAGGTGTGCCTTTTCAGTTAATTTGCACTTTCTTTATTGTTTTGTCTTTTCTTACCGATTAAAGTTCTTCATAAATATATGTGAATAAGTTGTCTTCTGGATTTTTTCTGTTCTTTGAGAAATGCCATCATTATCTGGTGCATAATCTTATGTCAGATGTTCATCTGTCGTTGTAAATTTTTAACATGAAAATCTCAGTGAAATCTGACAGCCACTTTTTCATTTAAAATTGCCTAAATTATTCTTCAGTTTTTAATTTATCTCTATCGTCCAAAATCTCAGTTCCTTTTCATGATATAGTCTTGTCTTTTCTACGATTGATTTTTAAAGGATTTTTTAAAAACAAGTAGAGATTCCAGCAAAACTTGACCATACACTTGTTTGTTTTTCACTACTTACTATCTATTCTAGGATAGATATTAGGTATGTTAGCCAATCAGATTGCAGGATTCGTGATAGTATGCTRGTAGGTTATATGCTATATGCTGTTATATAGGCTCTTCATACGACTCAGTCTAATGGGCTCAAAAACAGATGTAGTGTCAGTTTGATAAATATAAAAATCAGTTGAATAAGTATTTGTTAATCTTGCATCATCTTTTTATAATGCAAAGGTTTGGTTGACTTGACATTGTCAAACTTGAATTAGCAATAACAATTCGTTTTATTAATAAATTTAAGCAGGCAATGGAAGTCAATTCTAACTTTTGAAATTCTTTGTAGATTATACATGTTATGGCATGTAATGTTGTATTTGAATCTGCCTGTGCAGTTATTTCTTGCTATTAACTTGTTCTAATGAAAATATTTATATCTTCTAGCTGGTCATCCTTTGCTAACTGGAGATACCATGTGCTGGAAGTCTACATGAAACTAGGTGACGATAAGGGAGCTCTTAAATTTGCTTCCAAGAAATCTAATGAACAAGCATTTGCTTTAGCCTCATCAGCCACTGCTTGGCTTTGGAGCCTTGCTTTGCTAGAATATAGGTATAAACACCATAGAGGATTTGCTAGTGATTATTATGAAAACTTGGAGCAAATGTCACCTTCAACACCTCCAATTGGTGCTATAATGAGAGCAGCCCAAGCATCACGCCATGTTATCAGCTTCCTTACTGGAGAGAGAGAGTTAACCAATATTAGCATTCCCCACATGATGAAATCTGAGAACTCCCTGAGTAATGCTGCTGTGTATTGCATGTCAAACCTAGAGCTTTGGAAGAGTACTCCTGGGGCAATTGAGTGGGCTGCAACCAATTGCCGCACACACTACTGTCTTCTCATGCTCAGGAAAGAAAAGGAAATACTAGGCTTTCTAAAGCTGGAATCCACTTTAGACAATTTTAGAAAAATGGTCAACAAAGGAGTTTTCCTGGAAGCTTCCCTACCAGGATTTGGGGGACGACTTGTGAGTGAGGCTGTCAAAGCAGATTCCTCAAGTTATCTGGAAGTTTTGCTGAAAGCTGGTGCTAAAGTTGTACCTGATTTGTATGGTAATATGCCTCAACCTCTTCATATTGCCTGCTATTATGATCATCATCCAGACATCATAAAGAAGCTCTGCAAATATGGTAATTTTTGTGCATTTCATATTACAACAACAGTCATATAGATTTAAAGATATTTAATTTCTACAATGTATTTTAATCACTAAATTCATATACAGCTATTTCGACAAAAAAAATGTTGAAAGCGCAGACAGCAGGTGTGATGATTGGCATTTGCATGACATTTGCATTTGTCAAAACACGAATAATCAAGGTTTTTTCCTTCGTTTCATCGACCACAAAAAGCACCAAAAATCCCAACAACAATATCTGTGTCATTGACAATAATAATAATGAGAAATACAAGTTGCTCCAGCAATTCTTGCATCTTGGAATGACCTATCACTTATGAAACAATAATGATAAAAGGGTAAATCATACACTGTGAAAAGATGAAAAAACTTACTAAAAGGTTACTATCTATTACTTATGACCAATTCTTCGATTGCATGTTAAGTCATCACAGCCTCTCGAGAGTGCTTTGGTGCCATTTAACGAAATATTTCTTATTACCATCCCTTGTTAAGGGCACCACAATGGCCACCATGCTTTTGTCTTTTAACTTTCTTGAGAATGATTGCAACCCATCAATTGCTTATTGCTGTTCACCTCTTCCTGTTTAAATCATCATACTATAGGCCAAAGTAAAAACATTTGCAGCCAAAATTTCAAAATTCAGTCATTTCTTTTGATAGTGTTTTTAGGTTGGCCAATATGATTGAATAATGTTAATAATAGCTGATAAAGTTTGACAAATAAAAAGCTGCTTAATTATTATTTCTAAATGTCAAAGAAGAAGGCAAAATCAAGTAGTTCATTAAGACTGCATTTTCCAAGGTACTGGACAATTTTTTTAACTATGGTCATAAAATTGTCAGATGGAACATAAACACAACAATGTCAATGGTATTTCAAATTTTTGACTAGTAAAAAGTTTGCCCAGCACTGTGTAAATGCAGCCCAAGACTCACACACAATGTAGTTTGATTATTACATATACCCCTTGCAGCACTTTGAATTTGGAATGCAGCTTGATCTGGGTGACAAAATGATAGATTCCAATTCTCAAGAGATTGTATTTCTTTTTTTGCCCTCCAGATCAGCTGCTTTGACTTCAAATGCAAGGGGTCTATATACTGTGTTGACTAAATCTACTTTAATGTATTACAGGTGCAGATTCAAGTTGTAAGTATGGTTTACATTATAGCCCAATAGAAATGGCAGCAGAACAGGGAGCTGTGGGAGCACTGAAGACAGCAATCAGTTGTTTACCAGAAAATTCATCCAGAAGCAAGAATGGGATAATGGATGATATCCTCTTTGTTTTGTTCAACACATCTTGTTATGATTGTATCAATGGAAAGGGACCCAAATGCCAGCGCTGTTTACATGATTCCCAGCCACACCCAAAAAATGCTTCTTTTACTGGATGTGTTGATGTGGTCCTTAATGCTGGATATGTTCCTACAAAGAGGATCCTAATTCGTCTCCATCAAATGCACAGTTTCAAGCCAGAGCTATTTCAATACATCCTCCAATCTGCTATCAAATTGTCTCCGTCGTTAAAGACCTTCTTACATATCGATACAGAGCAAGCTTGGGAAAATATGTGCAGTTCTTGTGCTGAAGGGAACATCAAGACAATGATGTGTTCAGGCTGTCGTAATATCCGCTACTGTTCCAGAAAGTGTCAAAAGGCTGACTGGAAGAATCACAAGAAAATGTGTTTTCCCTGAAAGGACCGATCTGTCCAAGACTATAGGAAGGCAGAGTCCAGTTTGACAATTAATTTTTGCATCATGTTATTATTTAGTTCAAAAACACCTTGGTATATTATATATTATTATATATTTTATATTCAGACAAGAAATTGTTTTACAAAACAGAGAAATGTTTGCTTTCTCTTATTTAGCAATAGTCATACGTATTTGTTAAAGTGCAAATGAACCCTTTGACAATACATTCAGTACTGGTTCTGCATAAAGTAAATAGTTGATTGGTAAAATATTTCTTGATTTGAGTGATGCGTCTCTAAGTTATGAAGGTTTATACTTCCAATATGTTAATGATGATGACGTCAGGTAAGGTATTTGAGTGTTTTTGTTGTAACTAGTAATACTAAATGCTGGCCATTTTGAAAATAAAAATTGTAAATAGCTTTCATGTAAACCATGAGTAAAATAATGATGCTTTTAAAATACTGTTTCTATGAACCAGTTCGATTTTGTATATTTGATTAAGCCTTAATAGACGTCACACTCATTAGCATATTGGAAGTATAAACCTTCATAACTTAGAAACGCATCACTCAAATCAAGAAATATTTTACCATTCAACTATTTACTTCRTGTAGAATCAGTACTGAAAGTATTGTCGAAGGGTTCATGTGCACTTTAAGCAATCTCATTACCAATATTAACATGTTGAATTAGATAATGAGAGCATCACAGGAAGAAGATGAAAATATTGGCATAGAGATTGCTTCTACAGAAAAAGGAGATATCAGAATAGAAAATTGTATTTAATATCTGTAATAGAACCATCATCTGTTTGGAAAAGATGGTCCTCATCCTAACATACACCTCATAAGAATGCATGACCCTGGGGAGGGGGACTCCAGGAAAAAAGTACCGGGGATGTTCGTCGGAAATTTTCAAAAAGACCCCTAAAGGATACCGGAAGTCTTAAAAAAGGGCACAGCTGAATGATTTTTAACCCCTAAGAGATACCACAACAAATAATAAGTTTGCTCGAGTAGTAATTATTCTTCTTACACTAGGTATCTGGCCTATAAAAAGTGCCTAGGATAAGCCATATAGATGCGCGCTTCTCTCCTTTTCCAACACCCTAAGAGATACCAGAAAATGCTGATTTTCAGAAAGATACCAAACCACGAATTTTTACCCCTAAGAGATACAACGAGCGTCCCCGGTACTTCTTTCCTGGAGTCATCCCCGGGTAAATGACCAATGCAAGTGTTTTCTTTATTCATTTTTGATCACTAATATTGGATTATAATTGCCCTATCTTGCTATGATGTCACACAGCTTCAATTATTAGGTTAAGGGGGATACAATAAAAGTTGATAATACTATAATACATAATAATACAATATGTCTGGTTTTCAAACATTTTATAAAACTGTTTATCGTATAATGTATATGGTGGCTACTATAACCCTTATTTTTCCTAAGGCTCTAAGAAATACTTTTTTGCAGTTTTCTTTGTGTTGTTGCTGTTTTGTTCTACTGCCAAGATTCTTGTCATTAAACCAAGATTGTTTTCATGTGGCATCATAGTGATATAGGGTAATTAACAAATTGCAGAACCAGTCTGAATGATCAGGTATTGATCTAACAAGCTTAGACTTGTAAGTTTTGGTTGCACATGTTCTAGTTATAATTATTGCATTTTGCAATTTATTCCGTTCTAAAATGACATTACAATACTTGCAGAGAGATAAGATTTCAGCAATGATGAGACAGGAATTATCCCAGTTACGACGTGTCTCAGCAGTATTCTAAATAAATGTACATTAAAGTGTAAGAATCAAAAGTAGAAAAGGATCACCTGTTATATTGGACCATTGTTGAGCATTGTATGAGCATTATGCTATTGGGTAAATTGTTGGGCATCTAGCTTATAAAACCCTGCATAGGGAGGAAACTGCAATTGGATCAAAGGGTGGATTTGATCATCATACCGAAGGTCCCAGATGTAACACCTTGTAGAGTGTACTCCACATGTCTGTGAAACAAAGACAAAGAGGTATTGTCATGGTGTACTGGTTAACCAAGAGTATCATAGGTTTCCATGCAAACACATGAGTGGGGCCAGGCAAGATTCTAACCTCACACCCTGGCATGAAATGATATTACAATGCCTATCTCAACTCTAAACCTAATCACTCAACAAATCTTTCCAATTTTTAAAAGGAGGCAGCATGGTCGAGTGGTCATAGCATCAGTCTTGCAATACGGTGGTGCTGGGTTAGAGTCCTGCTGTGGCCACTAGCTGAGACTGTATTTGTCCTGATTTCTGATTAGCTCAAATTCAATTTCTCAAACATGCTTGTAAATAGCCAACTGGTTTGCCTCCTTGCCAGTTGGGATTCTTAACACACTTAATGTTTCTTTGATTAATTATTCTTCATTTCAGTTTATTAATTTGTGGACTACACTGTAAWCTAGCAGTTAGCTAAGTGTACTCTCCATGTTAAAAAAGGTTAATTTTATTCATTTATTTATTTATTTCGTCATATTTAAAATGATGCTTCATTATTGTATGCACAAAAATATTTATTATAGTATATAATATATATAGAGGATATTACATGGGCACCCGGAGATACGAAATTTATCTTCGAGTGTTGAAAAGATTTTCAACACGAGAAGATAAATTGCGTATCTCCAAGCGCCAATGTAATATTCTGTTTATTATGTAATTATCAATGAAGTATGTTTTGGCTTTTTCAGGCAATTCTTTCGGTGTATTTTTAAATAGACATCGCAATGGTGTCATTTTCACACGTGAAAATAACATGTTATTTTCACGTGTGAAGATATCAATTTTTCGAAATAGAGAAAAATAGATATTTCATTGGTAATTATATAATAAATATATATATGCTATCATGGGACACGACTACTAGTGTAATGAATTTGCATATCAGAATTTGTATATGTAATAGGTCTCCATGCTGTCCAATTAAGAAATAATTGGACGAGGACTTCCAAAATTGGATGAGGCCATAGGCAGTCAGAGGAATTTTTCGAGTCTAATTATTCCTTGATTGGGGAGCACGAAGTCCCATTACCTATTAATTACATAGCTGCCTAATTAATCCCATATCAACAAGACCTGTCCAATTAATGATGGTAATTGAACTTCGTGTTGTGCAATTTTTGGAACAAAATTTTACAAGTGATTACAAAATTGCACGACCGCATAGCTGGAGTGCAATTTGTTAATCACAAGTATGATTTTGGTCCAAAATTGCACAACACGAAGTTCAATTACCACTTAATCAATCACTTAATCCTTTTTGTAATCATACACAAGAAAAAAGACACAATAAAGAGAGCAGAATAATCAATCAGGTTTTTCCTGGTATAAAATAAACGATTTATCAGCAAATCATTAAATACTCATAAATAATGCTTCTCTCTGATTGGCTGAATATAAGAATTCTGTTCTTTGATTGGTTCTTTCAAAAAGATGCGATTAAGAGCTCAAAAGGATGCGACTAAGAGCTCCTAAGGATGCTATTTGGGAATTAATTGCATTCCTTTAAACCAATGAGATTGAAGGATTTGGTAGTGATTACAAAAAGGATATGATTAAGAAAATAATTGGACATTTATCTATATGGGATTAATGAGAAGCTGTATAATTAGAATTAGAATAGAGCCCCCCTGTCAGACTATTCCTTACACCATGATACTTACCCTATTTTGCTGCTATTTTACCTCTAAATAGTTGATAACTAAATACTTTTAAGAGCTACATGTCTTGTTTTGCCGATATGTGAAGTACACTCTAAAGTGTCAGAGAAAGTGAGGTGGTACCTCTTAGTATAGGGCATTTGTCAGCTGGTACTAAGATATCTGAGATCATTTAATATGACAGCCAGAATGGCTGTTCTAATTCAGGATATTTTAGATACAATACAATACAAACTTTTGTAAAAGACTCCAACATATACTAACCCAGTGAGTTATCTAATTTATGGCCATCAAGGATCATCTTCTGACCTCTGTCACTTAAACAATAGATAATTGGTACCTTTCAGAGGTAAAAATCATTAGTTGACACACCCACCTGTCATGGACAGGACTAGGGGGTAACTTAGGGGTCATTTTCACTAACCATATCACTGCCCTGCTCTTAAGGACCATTCATTTTTGATAGGCATGCGGGGGGGGGGGGGGGGGGGGGAGTGGTGGGATTTATTATATGGGGGGCACATTAAAAAATTGCATTTAAGTTGGGCACCCCAAAAATATATAGCTTAATAGAAAGTTTATTTTAAAAATTATCCTGTTTTAGTAGCCCGGGGCCAAGGAAAAAAATTCAGGTTGGAATTCACAAAATTCCCTCCCGCATTCCCCTTCCATAACTATATGTGACCCTTTTTTCACTGCTTGTATTTCATGACCTTCCCTATTAAGGGGCCCAAAACGTCAGTAGTAAGTAGTAGTAGTAGAGTACAAACACTAAAAGTGTGCAACACTTTGCACTATTTAGTAGAAGATAGTGCTAATTAATTTAACAAGAAGTGAGCTTATCTTCTATTTCTGTTTTGCAAATAGGACATATTCTGTCCTCAATATTTTTATATGGCTTTGCATAATCATTGATTCAGGGACCGCGGAACCAGGGGAGCTGTAGCCTCCATCTTTTTGCGCCAAAAATACGAATATGAATAAAAAAACGTTTTTTTACTCGCAATTTGATACCAGCCCCCCCCC